TTATTATAAATAAGAATATTATTTAAATAAATAATATAAAATATATCTAGATATTTATATAAGATATTATTAATAAATATTTAAAAAGTAATAAAGATATTATATAATTTAAAAGATATTATTATATATTCGAATAGACTATATCGAGTAAGAAATATAATTTTTTCTTTATAATTCTTTTTTATTCTAATTTCGTTAAAAGTAATTATAATATTAAATTTACTATATATTCTTATTATATATAATTTAATAAAAATCTTTTTAATTAATAAGAGAATATTTCGATTAAAAATAATAAGTATATTAAGAACTCTATAGTTTATATATAATTTAAATTCTTTATTAAGTTTTTTTATAATTAGAATAAATATTATATAGAGAGAAGTATTTAATCTAATATAATTTTTCTTTAATATTTTATTAATATATTTCTTTATAATTAATATTTAATTTCTAAAGAGTTTATAAACTTTTTTTAATAATAAAATAGCTTTTTTTTTAAGATATATTTTATAATTAATAAAGTAATAAGAGAAAAGTTTATTAATTTTAATTAAATTTTAAATATCTAATTATTTATAATATATTATAAAAATTTATTTTTATAATTATTTTATAATTAAGAATTTCTTTTTTAATTTATAAAAGAATTTTTTATAATCTTTTATTATAATAGTAATAATATTAATAATAAACTTCGCTTTTTTATTAATAAAGTTAAAAAATTATTTAAAATCTTAAAACTATATAATAATAATTTAATTTTTTAATTTTTTAATTATTTTAATAAAGATATAGATAAAAATCTTTATTATATTTTTTTTTAAATATAATCTTTACTATATAATTTAAATTCTTTTTTAAAAATTTATTATTACTCTAAATAATAATAGATTTATTATATAATAAATAGTTAAATATATAATAATCTAAATTAAATATAATAATTTTAAATTTAAAAAATATATAAAAATTATATTATTTTAATTATAATATCTCTAAAATAATATTAAATTATTTTAATAAGATAATTAAATATTAAAGTTCTTCTATATAATCTTTTAAAATAAATTTTATTAAGATTATATATATAATATTAAAAATAAAAATAAATTTATTATTAATTAATTATAATCTATAAAATTATATTAATATTATTTTAAATAATTTATTTATTTTAATAAAAAATATATTTATAAAGCTTAATATTAAAATTTTAATATTTAAAAAATAATTAATCTTAATCTATTTTATTAATATAATAATTTTTCTATAAAAGTTTAATTAATATTTATTTTATAAAGAGACTTTAATAGTAATAATATATATAAATAAAAAGATAAAAGCGAGTATTCTTTCTATTTTTAACTTTTTAATTCTTATATATAAGACTTTTAAATTTCTAATAACGATTTAATTAAAGATATTTAATTTTTTAATTCTTATAATAATTCGATAAGAATATTCTTCTTTATATTGACGGCTTTTAGAACTATATCGATTTATTCTTTTATTAATAAATCTATATTTTTATATAAAGTATTATTATCGCTAAAATAATATCTAATTTTTAAATATTTAAAATATCTATCTTCTTTTTAAATTCTATCTATTAATAATTTAGAATATTTATATTTTTATATATAAGAATTTTCGATAATAATATTATTATTTCTTTTAATAAAAAAAGAATTACGCTAATTATTTAAAAAAGTAAAATTTTTATAATTATTATTAATTTTATTAATTTCTTTCTTACTTTTTAAATTTAACGCGTTATTAATAACTTAAAGATTTATATTTAATATTTATAGAAAAATAATTAATTCTTAAAAAGTATTAAAAGATTATTTTAAAATTTAATATTTTAGATATATAGAGATTAATTATTTTAGATTAAATATTTTATAAATATTAATAAATTCTAAGAAAGTAATAGCTATAGAGAATTATATATAGAAATTCTTAAATAATTTCTTTTTATCTATTATTCTTATATTAAATTTAAAATTAAATATCTTAATATTTAATTTAATAATTTTATTATATATTTCGAATATATTATTTAATTTATTAATTATTTTTTAAATAATTTAGTATAAGTTTAAAATATCTTTATTTATTTTTATTTTAATAATATTATATATAATAGACTTATAATAGTTTTATATATAATCGATTTTTTTAAATTTAATAAAAAAGATTATAATACTTTATTTAAATTTCGCTTTAAGATATTAATATTAGCTATTTTACTTATCTTAATTATTAATATTATAAAAATTCGAGATATCGAAATATTATTTATTTAATTTTATATTCTTTATATAATTTATAATAAAGATATAATATAAATTTTAATAAAGATTATTAATAAAAATACTCGACTAATAAGATATAATCTTTATATCTTTTTTATTAAAGTTTTTTAAATTAATTAATATAGAAGATTATTACTTCTTTAACTATTACTCTTTATATTTTAAATCTTATTTAAATTTTTTATTTTCTTTAATAAATTTTATAATATTAATATAATATCTATTACGTAAATCTCGAAATCTATTATTAATTTCTTATTTATAAAATAATTAGCTATTACTATTATTTAGTTAAATAATAATTATTAATATTTTTATTTTAGCTTAAATAATATTATAATTAAATTCTTTATTTTATTATTAAAATATCTTAATATTATAATTAATAATTCGAAAGCTTTCTATTAATATTTTTAATTTATTATATTAAGTATTAGAAGTTTTAATAGTATTTTTTATAAAATTTTATAAATTAATAATAAAGATAAAGATTATAATTAACTCTTTTTCGATAATATTTATAAATTATATTTTAATATAATTTAAATTAAATTTAATAATATATCTTCTAATAATAAAACGCTTTCTCTTATATTATATAAATAATCTAGCTTTACTAATATTTAAGACTTTTTTATTAAAATTCTTAAATTCTTCTAAATAATATTATATTTATAATTTATTTATAATAATTTAACTTTAAATATTATTTAGATTTAAAATTAAGAAATTTATAGCTAGTATTAAATCGATAAAAATATAAAAAAAATTTAATCTAAGATCTATTTCTTTTAATATATTAAAGATATTTTTTTTTTAAATTCTTATTTAATCTAATTAGATTAATCTTTATATAAATAGAATTTTTTTTTTTAAATAATCTTTTAAATAATAAGCTTTTCTAATTATAACTACTAACTTCTTAATAATATACTCTTTTTTTAATTATATATTTAATATAATTAATAAATAAATCGCTATTACTTTAAAAGAAAGATAAATAATATTATATTAGAGATTTAATAATATATATAATAACTCTATATTATAGTATAAAGAGAATACTATCTATATAGAATTATTATAAATATAGGCTTTATAATAAGATAGAAAGGCCGAAAGGCCTTGATATGTTAAGCTTAATTAGGCCATAATATAAGTAAGGTCGTAAGGTCATTAGAACCGTGACAGCGCTTTCGGGAGATGAGGGAGATCAACTCCGACTAGCTAATCAGGTCGTGATACGGACGCTTGCAGTGCCAACCCACCTACGCCGCAGACCCCACGCAGGAGTCAAGCGTCCGTCCCCAGAGCTGGAAAAGCTACTGGATGAATGGCTTAGGTAGGCACGATGACAGGATCTAATATCGAATCCGGCGAATAAATTTCGAATTGAATATTGCAGATCCCCCCGTTCTAGAGCTTCGACCATTCGGGTTAGCAGTGCAGCCGCAGCCGCATCTGCACGAGGTGCAGCACCCGACGGGCCAATGACCGATATTGTCCACGATCTTAGCCATATCAAGATCGCTAAAGCCGGATCCGCTTCGAGGTTGTTACCGGAAGGTATGCGATCCTGTAGAGCATCGGTAATTGTTAGCATCAAGAGTCTGGACGAGGACTTCTTCTTTCAAAGCCCTCGGCGTTACGCACAGACCTTCAATCGAAGGTCAAATGCCGTTCTCTTTTTGATCAGATTGACGCTGATCTTCAATAATGTGCGGAAAACGTGGATTCGTAATGCATATCGAAGAAGAGAGGCGGATGCTCTGATTTCTTGGAACTGAAAAGAGATAATCGCATCAATCAGTGATCTTGCACGATTCGATCAATGAAATGCACCGAGACATAATCCTAAAGCCTTGCGAAATCGACATGAGCTTGAGAGCGTGGAAATCCACGACGAAAGTCTTTACCGCAATCTGTCGTTCCATGTTTAATCAAGATGTTTAAACTGGTGTGCCCTTGAAAGCCTGTCTCGGCTTTGAGGTATTGTTATATTCACCAGCGTCCCCTGCTGTTGAGACCAACGGGTTCCGAAGACGATCTGTATACATGAAGCACGGCTCGGCCGAGAGCTAGCGTTGAGATCCTAGGGAGGTAGTCCAGTAAAAGCATCCTATTAATCAGATGCAAAGTCAATGCAGGTAACCCTGTCCCAGCGGAAGTGGTATGGTAGCCCGCAATGTGCACATACTCCCGATATGCAGCTATTGTTTTTTGAACTTGCGATAAGCGACAGGAAGGTGAAAAGTTTTTACGCTCCCGTATGGCCCCCTTGACTCTGTGAATAAGCGGTACAGGAGGAAACATTATTCAGGCGCACATTAAGATGTGTCTGACGTACAAAGAGGTCCAGAAACTCGTTGTTGTAACTCTTTCCATGCTTTTCCATTCCAAAGACTATGCGCAATACCACTAGAACGCAAAGGTCAAGGAACGTGTATACCAATGAAAATAAAATATCCAAAATTAGTAGTCTTTCAAAATCAAAGCCGTCTTTAGTCCGTCCCGTTAAATGAAGGGTATATTTTCTCCAAATTTCTCCAAGCAAAGCAAGCACCATACCATGTACAACTGCCGGCTATGAGCACCGGCTAAGCGGAAAGTATGTTCGAAGAAGGCACGAAGAGTAGGAAAGCTAAAAGCAGCTCAAGGTGTTAAATTCTCCATGGCCATCTAATTGTTCGTGGCCACCAAGACGTTTGATGTGTTGCCTAGAAACACGACCAGCACAGCGGAGTATGCGGCAGTTGCAGCAAAAACTTCCTGTTTCTTTGCCTGCGTAAAGATTGAGCAAGAGGCGGAGAAGAGCAGGGTGAAGATGAAGATTGTGAGGATCTGGTAGATGCCCCTCCGCTCGACATCTGACATGCTGGTTGGTTGCAACTTGAAAAGCACGTATACGGGGACGAGCAGTAAAATCGCTGCTACCATCGTAACGATGGCGCGCAGGACGTTGTCGAGGCGGTCGAGAGAGACCAGGTGGAGTGCTTCGTCTCCAGTCTTAATTTCCTGCTCGTGAGTTTGGAAGAGCTTCTGTTCAGCAATGTTAGAGAGCCAGACGAGGTCCACAGAAATGCATGGAAGGCTTGAACCTGAACCATATATGGTCACAGGCAGAGGAAACGTGGCCACACCATACTGGGATGGCGTTGAACAGAAACACGACGCAGGCGATGTTGAGCACTCACTTTAGTAGCGGTCCTTGATATTGTGTTTAATGTGTTCTCCAGACAAGTATTCAGCCACCCTCGGTCGGCAGCACAACCTAGAGCAGCTAGGTCGGTTCCTTCACGAATCCAGTCAGCTTCGTTGCGGACTAGGCTTTCAGTATTGTGTATCAGATTATGCACGTTCCGCTGAGATCTGCGAGAAGGCCTTTTGATCGCCTGGATTTTCTGCGTTCGCAACAGCGCTTCATCTGCTATTGCATTAGTATGCGAATCCGGACCGGAAAGAAGCTGTGAGCGTGCCATATTCTCTAAGCTTGCCGTGCACACTGGCCATGATCTCCCTGCGTCTTGAGTCTGGGCGTCCATAGTCCAGTTGGCGCGAAACTAGCCGCTTCTGATCACCATCTCTGAAATCCCATTTATCAAATTCCTCCAACTCATGTTGGAGAGCAGCAAGTTCATCCTGAAGGTGTAGCAGAGCGTAATTGCGAAGCCATCCAAATTTCCTGTATCTGGATTACAATTTCGCGGTTAGTGATGCCTATTTGAGGGGGCAATATCGAGGCTTAAAACACGTTTGAAGAGAGAAAACTTCCAAGCTGTGTCTCAAGACTCAAGATCCGCGCGGAAAAGAAATTATGGAGTCCTAGAATACACACATTAAAAAGTCCGAGTCCAAATTCTCGATCGCAGCGACTTTTCCATAGCCTGAACAGTATTCATTGACTACAATCACAGTATAAGCCTGACGAACAACTAGAAGGGGAGAAGGCTTACGTGAATGTATGATCTGATCTACATCGCCCTTGACATGCCCCGGCAGATAGCTCTTGGACAGTTGAAACGTGTCTATAATGCGTGCGATCAAGCTTCTTCTCCATGCTGGCCCTCCTGTCAACTCCTTGACATCGTCTCAACCTTAGTGCGGTACATACCGTGGCTGCCATTGTCGTTCTCTAAGGAAGATTGGGAATCGAAGGGGTAGGGCAGATTTGAGACGCTATGACGTGGAGACTCTGTCGATGCCTCCTGGCTGTTTGGACTTGATGGGTTCTCGTAGACCTGGTCACGGCCTGCTTGCGCGTGATTTGTTGTAGAGGATTGCAAATCGCCGTCGCTCACATTCCAATTTGCTTGCCGTAATGCGGGCATAGATCGAGAGTCTATTTTCGTAGTTCCCGCGCACTTGGCGCAAACTTTGCAAGTGCCCGTTTGTGATTATTGAAAATTGTCACAGAGGATGAGTACTTTTTTTCTGGAACTTTTCTTGACTGGGCTGACGGCGTAGGTCTTGAATGGAGGCTGGTAAAATGGGTGTGACACGGTGGGCAAGGCATGCCTTCATTCACACCGATAAGGCCCCTGTGAGACGCCTCGGAATGGTACTTGGATCAAGGATGAAATCCCAGAGGGCGGCAACGGGTGAGACCAATTGTTGCGAAACGTTATGATCCGCAGCAAGTCTCTGTTATTTTATTTGGCATTCTCATGGATCGTGGGAAGAACGCACGCAAGGGCACCGGCTGACTGGTGGAATTTCCAAAACTCGGCCGTCGTGAGTGGGTGACTGCGTTAGAAGAATACGATCCAGCCCGCTCATGTTTCAGTACGCAGTCGGGCGTTTTGTCTAGCCAATCAAAACATGTTTGTCAGGGCGATCGCTAATCCCATACTCCTTCTCCTTGTTTCAATTTCGCTCAACCATGACTTCCGCGTCTAGATGACATGCATATGCAACAGTTGAACCCTATGAAACGACGCTTCCCGGGCGAATTACTAATTCATACCCCGAAAGTATGGATCCTTACCGAATCATACCCCTACACCAAATTCCACCCAAATATGAGGTATGATTCGATAAATTGTCGAAATGGCCTCAACCTACGAAGGAGATAATCCGCGATCTGACCTATCTGACCATAGAAATAAGGGGATTTCTTTAACCGCGTTTGATAGGAATGATTTCTAAGTACATCTTGCTCTGCGCTTTAAGGTTTATAGGGTTTACCCCCCCCCGAAGACGCTTCCGGGTACCTCTTACCCTAAAAGACTCAAACACTTAGGTTATCTTTAGCTTACGCTCTAGGGGTCTTCGGCCCGGAGCAGAAGTGTAAACACAGCCTAGGGGTATCTATACTTCACGCTACAAACAAAAACACCCCTACTTAGGCCTCTATAGGGGCCCTGAAGGAATACTTTCTAATAGACACCTATTGTATCTACAAGTAGGCCACTCAAGTAGACCACCATGGCAAGTACGAATCTTTACCAAATCATACCCCCAAGCAATGGCAAATTACCGAATCATACCCCATCTTTGGGTGTGAAATGGTGTAGGGGTATGATTCGGTAAGGATTCGTACTTTCGGGGTATGATTCGGTAATTCGCCCAACGCTTCCCCCTTTCCTTCACCCTCCTTTCATATTTTCAGAAAATATGATACGGTGATACAAGGAAAATACTACTGCCTCTTCTGAAGTCGCCAACATAACCACTCTCTCCAATCGAAGCTAGGCATACCATTCCCTCAGAGACTCTTCCTCGACCCAGCGAACAGTGATTCCACCCGGACGCGGCGCGTCCTTCAACCTGTACATCCACGTCCTTTTGGACTGACTCCAGTCGATGCAGCAGATCCAATACCGTTTGCCCGTGGGACGACCGCTGTCATCTCGCTCATTTTCGTCATAGACGGACTCGACATCCTCATACTTCTTTGGCGGCTGCGTCTAATCAGATTCGCTGTCCACAAGAGCGATTGGCTGTGAGCCTGGAGGACTTACCAGTGCACTTTCGCGTCGCTGGCTGTCCGCGGCACTGTGGACGCTCGGGGACTTGCTGATGGTCGATCTACCGGCACTTTTGATACTTGCAGCCTTGTTGATAGCCACTCTTCCGGCACTTTTGATACTTGCAGCCTTGTTGATAGCCACTCTTTCCCCACTCTGTCCATCTTTGAGCAGGTGAAGCGGAATAGCAGTTTTGGGCGACCCGGAGCTCGTTGACGTACCTGGTTCTTGTGGATCTTGTAAGAACAGGCCAGATACTTCGTAGAACGATTCATATCGTTTGGATCGACCTTTGATATGACTGCAGAGTGGTATGTGGGGGATCACAGCACGACTGAAGGGTTTCTTTGCATTTCTTGTCGGAGGGTCTTTAGGCCTTATAGACATTCGGTAGGCTCGAGTGCCCTTATCTCGCTGCCCGCGAGATTGGTGTGGCCAACCACATCTCCTCTGACTTGAGCCGCATTTTCACAGCCACACCCCGTCACGCAGAAGAGCCCAAACAATCCTGCCACGTCACAACGTTTCTTTGGGAAGGCTGAAGGTGGTTCCGAAGACATCTTAAAAGTAATTATTAGAGCCGAAATTGAGGCATCCAGGATCTCATGCATCCCGTGCATCAACTCATGTAGCGGTGAGTGTTTCTGCAGTATCGACGGCTACCCTGATGCCCAACCTGACCCTCTAGATGAAAGATATATGCGTAGGAAGTATGCAGCAGTCTCGCTACCCAGCACCCTCCAAAAGAAAATCACCCAGAGATCGAAAAATGATAGGTCGCAAGGCTCGACCGGGTAGAAGGCCTCTTGAAGCTGCAAAGCAATTTGCTGCTCCTCAGCGATTCATGCAATGGTCACCAGAAGTAGCCTTGAAAAGGTCCAGAAAATGGGGCGCTGCTCTTTTTTTCCCCCTTCGGGCCCAGACGAAGGGAAACGAGCAGCGCCGAACCACGTGTTTGACAGCATGCGTCCCTCGGCCTGATCGGGCTCGCAGCAAGTCCTGTGCAGGCAGCTTCACTCGCATGATCTGTATCTGCACGTCTCGCTAACGCATTCGCTGGGCATCATTTTATTGGATAATGTGTGCATTCAATGGTCTCATATCATGTAGAATAGTTATTCTATTGTCATGTTCTATGAAGTATGTAGGAAGGATTATGGTGTGAAGCCCACGCGAAGGCTATTTGCCACCATAAGGCTATTTGCCACCATGAGAAGTAGTCACAACACCTATTTGGAACTTAGTGGTGTAGACATGCTGGCCTCCTATTGGCTGATTCCAACACTCCCACACAGTCCAAATGGTGGGCTGGAAACACTATTAGTTCCAACACTCCCACACAGTCCGAATTTGGGCTGTTCCTCCTATCCACTCTTCTTGAGTCCAATTTGGTGTACAAATGTAGCAAATTTGTCATTTGTAAGGGCTTTGGTAAGTCCGTCCGCAGCCATATCGTTGGTGGGTACCCATTCGAATGTGACTGCTCCTGTTTCCACTTGGTCCCGTACGAAATGCCATTGGATGTCAATGTGCTTGGTGCGTGAGTGAAAGCGAGGGTCCTTGGTCAATGCAATGGCCCCCTGATTGTCTGCTTCCAACACATTTGTGATGGTTACGGTGCATGCATGCATGCTAGGGCTCCACCTGGTCTGGGTCTGCTATGCGAAGCTGTATGACTACAATCACATGCGTATCAAAAAAAAACCCCGCCCACTTCTATCAGCCTCGTGCTCAATGAGAGTATCCTGGATTGTTGCTTATCAAGTGGCGGGCATGAGCATTTAGAATACCCTACCGAGTTCCTCTTGGGTTTCGGCTATCAGTCATATTCCGATATCGGCGTAAGTAGTATGGAAGCCTTGTCTCGGATATCAGTCATATTCCGGACGTAAGTAGTATGGAAGCCTAATCTCGGATATCAGTCATATTTCGATATCGACGTAAGGAGTATGGAAGCCTTGTCTCAGCATTTAGCAGATCATCAATTGGATGTGAATTGGCAGTCCTCCTTGTCTTACCTCCGAGAACATGCCTTTTTATACTGGTAAAGCCTTACGGGTAAGAGACCATCAAGTGTGAATCCTTGTCTGGGTCTGTTTGGCTAGATCAGAGTCATGTCTACGACATAATGATCCCTTGTTCCATGCTATCCACTGTTCATTACCCAACAAATGTCTCGAGCTCCAGGAGGCATTGCTGTCAAAGATTGCCCGCCAACTTGTTTTCAATGCACCACGACGTAGACTGGCTTACATCGCTATTCCGAAGTCAAGTCTAGTCTTAGATTAAGCCACTTTTATAATCTACAAGACTCTCTCCAGTGTTTCGTGAAATTTCGAAGCCTGCAATGGCAGCGACGGTGCACTACCATCGAATCCTATCCGACGACCAACAGAAAGAGACGTAGAAAGGCGACTGGGCAACCATAGACCGCCCTGTAGACATAAATGGAAAGACCGAGCCAGGACATAGATGCATCAGGCCAGTGCGGTATGTTCGCGCACGCATGCTTATCGTGCACTGCTAGGCGTAGTTCCCCCATACGAGGTATTGCTCAAGAAAACCACCAATACTGCGCTATAAGCCGCGGTGGCAGTGAAGACCTCTTGCTTTCTGGCCTTAGTGAAAAGCGAACAGCAAGTCGAGAACGCGAGTGTGAAGAGAAACACAACCAGAATCTGAAGTCGGCTTCTGCTTTTAGCTTTGCTGGGGTCCTCTGTCTGGAGTTCAAAGAGTATAAGGACGGGAAAGAGGAGCAGGGAGGCGGCGAGGACCGTCAGGATGGCACGAAGGAGGAAGTCAAGTCGCCCAGGAGATACGAGGTCCACGGTCTTAGAACCTGTCTTAGTGTTCTGTTCCGGGGTGCGGAAAATTGCCTGAACCACGTTGTTAGCTTTGGGGTTGCGGTAGGCACCAATATCCTGAACATGCTAGGGAAGAGGAATCATCAAGGCAAACTCGAAATATATCCGCCGAGTGCACGATTTATATGAATGGGGAGACTTGTAACGAGGCAAGATTGAAATTTTCGTTGGCGGGTGAAGTTGCGGTACTTACCAGCAATGCGTTTCTCGAAATCTTGTTCAGTGTCCCCTCGAGGAACACGTTGAACCAGCCATGCTCAGTGTCGGACGATAAGGCTGCCAGGTCATCATATTGACATATCCACTTGTGCTCTGCCCAAGCAATGTTGTGGGTAATCTGTCCGTACAATGCGTTCTGATGGGTTTCCGTTGGCCTTCTGATTGCCTGAACTCGCTGTATGTGGAACATGAGCTCGTCTGCAGAGAGATCAGTACAAAAAGGACCCGATGTGTAGAGTGCGCAAAATCACCGTATTCCTTGAGCTTTTCTTTGATCTTGTTCAACAGTGTCTGGCGCTCCGAATCGGAACCGCCCATGCGGTTTGACTTTATTGCCTTAGGGTCACCCTTCGAGGATTGCCATTAGTCAACTTGCTCGAGATCCCATTCTAATTTCTCAAGATCATCCTGAAGATGCAGCAATAGACGGGTGTGAAGCCATCCAAATTTGCGGCATATCAAAAAGGCAGGATCGCAGTCCTCAAAGGCAGCAAGTTGCGGATAGCCAACCGGGTACTCATCCACTGAAGCTTTCGGTCAGTGTCAGCTTGCGTCCCGTTGGTTCTGTACTTACAAGTTCGGATCCTTGGAGGCACCTTGTACTTATAAGTAAGTCCCGGTGGCAGCTGACTTGAAAGTCCAAATGCTTGCTTCGCTCGACTGCAAAGGTCACCTTTTTGAGCTTCGTGGGAAAGGCAGATTCAGTAACGAGTCATAAGATGTAGAGTGAGTTCCCACCTTGGTTGCTAGACTTCTCTGCGTCAAACTCATCTGATACCAGCAGGTTTGATGAGCTTCCGCGTGATGGGCTAGTTGACGTGGTTGACGGCGGGTGTCGTAGGCGCGGCGCGGCTTCCCGGGGCGAGCTTCGTAGGACTTCAATTCCATTCTTTTGTGTCATTATGAGCAGAGGAGAATAAGATGTTTTTGTTGTCAGGCTGTCTGATGAGATTATTTACCATGATGCGAATTGCGAAATAAGGTAAGTATCATGAGCCAGGCTTGAACAAGAGGTACGGGGCAGGCCGTCACACACACCACGGGAGGCTAAGCAAGGGCTGTTCATGATGCAATCGAAGTCAGCCCCGTCTCGCTGCTTTGCGCTTTGTGCCGCCATTCTATCCCAAGTGCGCGATCCTGCAGAGTTGGGAATCTACAGACGCCAATCGCCCACCTCCTTTATGCCCCAACCCTAGTCAGCATTGGCGTTTGGCCCTCGGACCATGCTCTGATTTGATTCTGGAAAGTAACGTAAGCTGCATGGCTTCAACGCAGAGAGCAGATAAGTACATGAGGTCTATCCAACCAGAGACTTGGAACCGAGTCTGACGGGTCCAAGCGCATAGCGCTTCATCATTCTGCTTGTTTGTCCTTTTCTCGGGAACAAGTGCGCTGATCGCTCACTCAATGGATCCTAATCCTTAACCCAGTCAAGACATTCTTCGTCAATCCAATTATCTTCTCCACCCACATAGAGCTCGTCTTCTTCCAGCTGGTCATCGTCTTCTTGTGGTGATCTATCTTTCAATCGATACTGCACTTGCCCATTGTCCAATCTCTGTTTGCAGCATACCCAGTATCTGGTATGAGTCAATTTGCCTGTGCCATCCCGCCGCTCAGTGTTGTTGATGACCACATTTCCTTCGTTGTACATTCCAAAAGACTGTTGCGAGGCTAGTATTCAGCTTTCACCTTTGATTGGGCAAGAAACGTCATACTACATCATTCCATGGCTCCTCAGGTACAGCCGCATTTGAACAGCTCTTCGTACCAGGTACAAACTGGCTGGTCGAAGACGAGGCTGCCTTGCTTGCACTTGCAAAACTAGGTTGTCTAGCCTGTATAACTCAATATTCAACCTTGGGAGCAGATACAGGCAGAAGACAGCGGCATACCTTTTTCGGGACGGTACTGGGCAACCGTTGGCCGTGCTTTGAGTCAGACATTACGCGGAAAACCTCGAGGGATCCGGGAATAACAATTCAGGTGGCATCACCGGAAGCTTTTATAGAACTTCCAACGGCCGGGCGAGGATTTGCGCTTGTACCAAGTTAATTTCCAGCCCTGCCATGCTGCCCGCCCATCCGTGATCAGGCCGCAATTATGCTGCGTGAAACCGCATGCACAGTTTTTTTCAGTTGCCACTTCGGCGCATTTAGGATAATATTTCTCAAATGCTTTTGTATTGATGCCAAGGCACCCACACAAGATCCACCACCCTTTTGCTTCTTTTTAGCACGACGGGGGGTGCGCAGCGGTGAAAGACCTTCAGCAAGTCAGTAACCACTAATAATTGGATGCCCGACACCGCAATTAGCTCCTCACTATCGCATCAGTGAAGTTTCAACCATACCGGCGGCATCGAATTTGCCGGAGATAGGTGTTCCACCTGTTCAACAGGAGCTTGCACCATGCGAACCGTCAGCCTTGTTTCGCTTGGGGACGAAAATCGATCAACGGCTGATTCAAGTCAGCGACTGGGCTCCAATGCATTAATATGCGAGATTCCGCTACCGCAAAAGGTAGGACAGGTTTCGATGAACACCGCGACGATTCCCGAAAAGGCTCCGGGCCCGGCCCCTTCCCCCCCTTTGCAAGTCATTGCAAGCCAACTCTATTCGCTTGGCCCTGCCTCCCGGTCGCAGCTGTGAACATTTAAGCGCTGCTTCTGTAAGGGTCGGAAATTGCCTGCAAACCTTTCAGCTCTTATCAGTGTCTCTGAACCCTTCAAAGTGGCTGCTGCCATCGTTCGACTGTCGTTTCCCAAAACGGTGCAATCATGTCAGCTTGCTAAGCCTTCGCTACGGCACCGCCTGAATATGTTCATTCGCCTCCTGAAACCGCAAGACTGGCATAGGAAAGAAGTACCCTGGCGACGTGAGGCATCCAGAAATTTGTCACACAGCTGCTGTATATGCAGTTTTCCGCGTGGCAAGTTGCTGAATCATGCTGCAAATTGAAGGTCTTGCCTTCTCCTGGGAAATGAATTCACAGCCCATTCTTATGTGTCGCCGAAAATTGATATTCCAACAAGGCTGTGTGCAGGCCACTACAGCACATCTCCCGAGAGCAATTCCGAACAGAGGCATGTGCTCTGTTCTTGGAGAAATTTCTAACGGTATTCTTGTCAATGTCCCAAAACCCTTTCCCACAAATCTCTCTGTCATCAAGGCATTTATACGCATGCACGCAAACAGCCTGAATCTCGCCCCATCCTCCAATTTTGTTAGCCTCCACAGGCATGATCGGTACAAGCGCGGCAGTCCATAGGTCGAGCATCTCCTCAAGCGTTCCAACCTCCATCATCCTTCTACAGAACGATTTTGCTCTTCCTGCAAAACGTCCTTATCAAGAGGTCGCGGGTCTGAATCACCGGAGGTCATTGCTCAGGAGTTTCAGCCAAGGGAGCCTAAAAATAGCCGCATCTTAGGGGCCTTTAGGCTCTAAAGTAATCAGCAACTGCCAAGCTGCCAACTCGCAACCCCAGCCAAACCTCTAAAACGGCGTTTAGGCTTGCGACGCGCCCCGGATGCCCCGGATGTCTGATAGTGCGCACATTGGCGCTGGCGCGACGAATGACCACAAACATCGTCTTCGTCCATCCGGGGCCCGAGGTTTTAGGTCTCTGTCTCAAAGTCTTGTCAGGCTCTTGAGCAGGTTTCCTTCTGGAGGAGTTGAGCAGACCTACGGGCCCCGTCATGGCGAACGCAGTGAGCGTAATTCTGTGCTCTTGGGCACTCTTGAGCTGCGTCGACGCCCTCGTCAACACCAATTTTACCGGCACGCATAAGACCTCTGCAGTAATATTCGACAATGAATTCTCCCTCATTGTTTGCGTATACCTAACAGTGTATGTACAAAAAGCCAAGGTCCTCGGGCCAATGACTCCAAAATGACTCCGAAACGGAACTGAGAAGTCCAAGGGCACCTGCTCGCAGCTCAAATGAATGCAAACCTATACTCAGCTCATCTGCCATCTTCATGTGACTTTTTAGCCCGAGATTTCTGTCTCACCTCCAACGAGTTACAAACCAGAAAGGGTTCAATTTCAGCTTCATCACCTTTTCGAGAATCCATTTTTAAGATGTAGCAACCTCCTCATCTCCATGTCGAGGCTTTGAGAATCGAAGGTCAAGCCGAGCTATCGCAAAAACAATAAGACATACGAAAACAGCTGTGCGGTGATCTGAGATCGTGAGCGTGGAGGACTTGGAACGGGTAGCATTGGAAGATGATGGAAAGGATGGATTCGAGGAGGGGCCCGACGAGGATGAAAGGGCTGATGAAAAGGGAGAGGGTGATGAGGATGAGATAATGAGTGGCGGGAATGGTAGCGTGGAGTTGATTGCTGACAACGAGTATGAAAACAACGAAAAGAGTGTAGGCGATGCGGCGGTGGACGAGGGTTAGTGACGTCGATAAGGTGAGTAGAACGAAGAAAAAGTGCTCCGTGAATTCTTTATCTGGACGTTGAATCGAAATCCCTCGATGTTAATGAAAAGAAAAGGCCATAATGTCCACAATGACTTTCCCGGCCCGCCTTCTCTACTACCGCACCTTTGTTCTCCATCTCTTCTCCCGCGATCACCTATATAGTGTCTCTGCCCAATTGGTCGGACGTCTTACGCCAGCTTGGACAAAAGGCTGCAAGCATGGAAGATGGGAAATCGGAGAAGACGACTAGCGACGTAGGGACCAGGACCATTGTCAGTTGCGACAGATGGCAGGACGGACTGCGGCCTCGGGTGAACGTTGACGGCGCTGATAAACTTCGAATTCTGAATTACGATGTAGGTTTTGCCAAGGTCGACGTTTTTACGGTTTGACGGGCTGACAGGTTGAAGCGTTTTCATGACTGAACCGTTGTGGGAGTTTAAGGCTGGCGGCGCTCAAAACCTCAAATAGGCTTAGCTTCTGTTTACGGTGGTCAATTTTGCCAAGACAATTCGACCTTGTCGGTGTTCAACGACGAGTAGGCTTAGCTCAAGGTCTATTCCACAGGAATTGCTGTCATCCCCTAATCCAGGGTTCTATAGACGGAAAAATTTCTTCCGCTGGTGTAAGAACCCGCAGGAGGTGTCGAGGCTGGTTATACGACATCCCATTCGACAACGAGCTATTAGTTTCATTGATGCTACTCCAGCTGTTGTGGAAGCAAGTAGGGTGGATCCAGGGGCGAAAGATTATGATAAGAGTTTTTGAATGGGTACGAGTGAGAGCATCGGTCATGAAATTTAAGCAATCGATCGTAAGAAGCACACCCTCTCTTAAGCGCGAGCCTATGGAGGTTAGAGGCATTTAGTCCGTAATAGGTTCGATTCCTCTTGGCGCTGGTACAATGGTTTTGCGGTGTTTCTTATTTTCTTGACGGGGACAGCCCTCCTGACGTTGATGTATAAACACCATATCCGGATCAGTGCCACAGTGGATAAGCATTCTTCATCGATTTTCGTGCTATCGATCACATTTTCCGTTCTATTGAGAAAGGTCTTGCACTCATCTGCATCATTCATGGCTCTGATGTCACGGTTCCAATGACCTTACTTGTGTTATGGCCCAATTGGGCTTAGCGTGCCAAGGCCTTTCGGCCTTTCTACCTTGCTGTGAAACCTATACTTATAATAATTCTATATAGATAGTATTCTCTTTATACTATAATATAGAGTTATTATATATACTATTAAGTCTCTAATATAATATTATCTATCTTTCTTCTAGAGCGATAGTAATTTATTTACTAATTATATTAAATATATAGTTAAGAAGAGAGTATATTATTAAGAAGTTAGTAGTTATAGTTAAAGAAGCTTACTACTCGAAAGATTAGAAAGTCTTTTATTTATATAAAGACTAATCTAGCTAGATTAAATAAGAATCTAAAGGAAATAAATATCTTTAATATATTAAAAGAAATAGACTTTAAATTAAATCTTCTTTATACTTCTACTAGCTTATATTAGAGAATAAATCGTATATCGAATAATAATATTAATAGTATTATATAAATAAAATATTAACTATAAAGATTACTAAATAATATATATATTAAAGTTATTAGAGTATTAAATTATTAAAAAGCTAGCTTAAATAAAGTCTAGCGTAAATTTAAAGAAGAAATATCGATTAAAATTATAATATTACTCTCTTTTTTAAATAATTATATTTTTATAATTTAAATTATAGCGATAGTAAGATAATAATAGCGAGATAATCGTTATAATTTATAATATATTAGTCTTTATAACTTAAAGCATATTTATTACTCTTTAAAATAATAACTTTAAACTTTTTCTCGCAGATACTCTCTATATTCGATCGTGATATTAAGTTAAATCTTATATAGTAGGCCTACGGATATAAATAATAGGGGTATTAATATAGGATAATAGCTTGAAAAGGTGCTTAAAGTAATAGTATAGGGTGCTGAGAGATAGTATAATAGATTCGTAGTTTTAGCGCATTGCCGAAAAAAGCGAAAAAAAAAAAAAAAAAAAATCGAAATCGAATAAGGCTAATTCGTTTAAAAACGTAAAGTCCGATGATTTATTAAATCGAAACTAATTTGAATACGCTAGCTATATATGACTAGACGGAACGATTATTACTAATTAGAGAAAGAAGAAGAAATTTATTACTACTACTATAGATAAGATCTATATCGTTATTACTTCTCTATAACTTTCTTTATAATCTTTTCCTTAATTATAATAATCTTTATCTCTTTAAATAATAATATCTTTAAGATTATATATATTTTAATCTAATTAGATCGATAGTTATAGCTAAGATATTTAAAATATCGATCTTCTTTCTTTAATTAATTCTTTAGCTATTTTAAATAGAGTAATCGCTATAAATCTAATTTAAACTTCTATTTATTAATCTCTTTTATATTTATATATATAGTCTTTAATTAACGAAGATCTTAATTAATCTTTTATAAATACTTAATAACTAAGCGAAAGAAAGATAATAAGATATTAACGATTTATAATTAAAGCTTAAGAGTAATAAGTCTTCGTAGTATAGTAATTTTATAACTTTCGCTATAGTTTAATAGCGTAATAATAGCTAAAAATCGAGTATAGAACTTATTATATACCTTCTTCTTTTTTATAATAAACGCCGGGTTATAAAGTAAAGCGTTATTCTTTATTAGCTTATCGTAATTATTAAATATATTATAAAGCTCTAAAATTATCTCTTTTATAGTATTATAGAGATTCTCGCTTAATAGATTTATTTATATCTTAAGTATATCGAATATAATTAACTTACAGTAGTCTCGAATATAGTTTATTTTATCTTTTTTACTAGAAAATAATATAGTATTTTATCGAAACTTGAAGTCTAGATAGAATCGCTATTTGTCTTATTTCTCTTTTTTACTATAGAAGTAGAGTATATTAGAATATTTCTTATTATTTTCGATAATAAGAATAGTAGAGATAGATATTTTAGTCTTAATAACTTTTAATTTAATTAGTTGTTCATTTATATCGAAATTTAAAGACTTTACTAGAGTAATTATTTCTTCTTTAATAATTAAGATCTAAATTTTAGAGATACTATGTAAGAAGCATACATGTACTTCTAAAAAGGAGTTTCACGAAGAAGGGAAAGATGTTTCTTGATTCTGATTGTGATTGATTGATTGAAATAAGCTAAAGCTATAAACGAAATCGAAGAAAGGAAGCGACATGCCAAGTTACGCTAGTCACGCTATGCTGGAAACGTAATACTAAATTTTAATTTATAATTTCGTATTTATAGTAGTAAGAGTCTTTATATTAAAACGATAAAGGTCTTATAACTCTCGAAGTCGTATTATAATTATATTAAGATTCTAAATAATAATATTAAGATTATAAATCTAGACCTAATAATACTAAATCGTTAATAACGATTTAGAATAAGTTTCTTCTTAATTCGAGTCTATAATAAATTAGATAAAGATCTCTTTATTAATATAGATAGATAATAGATAAGATAAGCGAGAGATAGTCGAAATATCTTCTCGTAGAGATAGAGTAGATAGATAGATAGGAAATCGTTTAAATATCTTCTTCATAATAAGGCGATTAAGTAGTCGATATTTAAGAGATCTTCGTAGAGATAGAATAGATAGATAGGTAGATAGGCAGATAGATAGAGAATCGTTTAAATATCTTCTTTATAATAAGGCGATTAAGTAGTCGATATTTAAGAGATCTTCGTAGAGTAGAGTAGATAGATAGATAGAAGTAGATAGATAATAATAGCTTAGCTTATAACTATATTAAATAGTTAATATTATATTAGAGAATAAATCGTATATTAAATAATAATATTAATAATATTATATGAATAGAATATTAACTATAAAGGTTACTAAGTAATATATATATCGAAGTTATTAGAGTATTAAGTCGCTAAGAAGCTAGCTCGAATAAAGTCTAGCGTAAGTCTAAAGAAGGAATGTCGATTGAAATTATAATAGCTTAATATTAGCTATAAACTTATTAACTTTAAATTTAGATAATATATAAAGTTAAATCGTTATAGATAAGTTATAGATATATTATCGTTTAGAAGAACTTAAGAACTTCGATAAGAAGGTCTTAAATATTACTATATTATTTATACGATATAAGAGAAAGTATTCTATCTCTAGAAGATATATTATCGAATTTAATTTAGATTATATCGAAGTGTAATTTATAAATATTATCGAAGAGTTAATTATAATCTTTATATTTATTATTAACTTATAGAATTTTATAGAAAGCGTTATTAATATCATCTGCAAATCTAAAAAATTAATTTTCGCACGATTTCCGCCGAATCCGTACGATTAGCACGATTTAGCCTATTTAGCAGACTTTATCTATATCTAAATCCTTTCCGCTAGTTCTATTAGTTTAGTAACTTTAAAATTTTTTTACGTAATATACTCTAATATACTCTAAGTACTATTCTATATATATATAATATTAATATATATTATTATTAATATACGCTATATTAGAGTATTACTTATACGACTAATTTTATTAAATTATCTAATTTTATAGTTAAATTTAAGTTAACGTTAATACTCGTTATCGTAAAATCTTATCGTTATAACGTCGATTATTAGAACTTTTCTTTTTTTATATATATTACTATTAAACTAATAGAACTAATAAAAAAGATTAGAATAATTATTAAATTGATGGGATTTTAGCTAATTTTTAAGATAGTTGCTAAATCGACGAAACTCTTAATTTCAACCCTATTCGCAAGATTAGCAATTTTAAATTTAGTAGAAACTTTTTAGATTTACAGATGACTCTTAATATTTAATATAATAAATTAAAGATTTTAATAGAGAGCTTTCGAACTACTAGTCGTAATATTAAGATACTTTAATAATAAAATAAAGAATTCGA